ACACCACAGCACTCTATTATATGGAACATCCTGTAATTAGTGTGCATTAACTGAAAGAAAGAATTACATATGGAATTAGCAGAGGATGGTTGAAGGTGCTCATGTATTCATTTCCTTGCTAATAATCATGAATCAAATAAAACAAACAAGTAATTCTAGCAATTCAAACTAATAAGGGTTGATTTTCTAAGAGACTATGTCTTCTAATGCATTTACCAGAATAGAATTAAGAACAACTTTTGGTTCTACAGGCCTTGAAACCCTAAATCAAATCAGATTGGAATTAGCCATACCCCTTTTCCGTTATAATTTGCTGTTCAACATCAAAAATAGTTTATGCACTCAAGAAGTAATTATTGTGCATCTGCTGTAAGTCAGGCTCTCTGCTAGGCACTGGGGATAAAGCTTCGACAGTCTTGCCCTTCAGAGCATTGAATTTAGCAAGAAAGACAAACAAGAATGCAAGTAATTGCAACCAAGATGAATAGTGTTAGGACAAAAGAAGTACACGGTGCCACAAACACCCACAAGGGACCTCCCATGGGGGCTGTGGGTGGCTGTAGGAAGGGAAGGTCCTCTGGAGGTGACATTTCAAACGAGACTTGATGACTTCAGAGTTAAGATTACATGTACACATGATGTCTTGCCTCCTCAAAAAGCTCCACTGAAGCCACATTAAAGAGACTTTAAAAATAATAAACCCACAAGAACAAGGAGAATAGGAAAAGCGACAAGAGAAACAAATTTTGGAAGCTCGAGAGAAGATGGACAAGTGGTCTCTGACTCAGAAAGCTGAATAAATCCTAAAGCAGCAAAGCAGGATTGAGGGGGAGCTGTTCGAGAAGCAGTTAGCCCTCTAAGCGCTTCCTCAGAACCCACTGCAGGGTTACTGCCCCTCCTCTACTCCAGCAGGGAGCTAGAAATTTATTCACTGGAAAGGGTGAAAGAGAAAGTCCTTGATCAACAACATGGTGCCATGACCGTACACAATGAAAGATTAATATCAACATCTCAGCCAACTGCCCTGCTCACTTCAAGAACACAGGTGCCACCCCTTCACCCTGTAGCTGGGCGATTAGGGGAGCTTCCTCTGGGGGATCTGACCAGCCTACCAGGAAAGACTAAAATACTGAAACCAGGACTTCTGCCAAAAGAAAAAAGACCCACCTAGATCCCTCCAGCAAAGCAGCAAGTCAACAAGCCTCACTCATAGGCTCCGAGCCTCATCTCCTAATCATGAGCAGGAAACCCAAATTGATTACCAGACATCTGAGGGAAGCTCGTAGCATGGAAGATAAATACCATACCAACAAATAAAAAACGACCAAAAAAGCTTCTTGGCAGAAACAGACTATGCACGGAGAAAAATATTTGAGAAAAACAAATTGTCACCAATACCCCCAAATAAATAAGAGAAGATATTGCAGTTATGAAACTGAAAAAAGAAAGGATCATATAAAAACAGAAGGATTCAGAAAACAAAAAGAGAACTCAATAGTAAGGTTGAACAAACAGAGCAAAGTAGATTGTAAGAACAAAAATAAAATAGAAAAGACAAGAAAATTAATTTCTCTGAACTGATAGATACGAGTTTCTAGACTGAAAGGGTTTACCAAGTGTCTGGCCTAGCTGGCTTGCACAGCCCTTACCATGTATGCATCAGTTACTGTTCTAACTGCTTTACATGTTAACTTGCTTGATCATCGCAACAACCCTATAACATGGGTGCCTTTATAATTATCATCCGCATTTCACAGATGAAGAAACTAAGGTACAAAATGGTTAAGCAACTTGCCCAAGATCACACAGCTAGTAAGTGGCAGGACCAGGATTTGAAGGTAGGTGATGTAGGCCCGGAGCCTACTACACATATTACCAAGCAGGAGGGAGCACCACTGTGAAATTTCAGAATATGCTATAGACAGTTTGTTTGATTTTTTGAAACCAAGGGTATGTATTATTTTGATAGTGCATACAGAGCCCGGCCCTTGACCAAGAACCTGAGGGGAACATCATGCAGACATCTGTTTCCACCTCCTTACACAACTTCCTTCTCTCCAATACCCTGTCCTACAAATTCCAGTCACATCAGAAGGTCTAAATACTTATTCCTGCCTCCTAGCTCAACAAGAACACTGCTCTCCATGGGCTCTCCTCCCTGCATCACAGTCGGGAAGAGTGTCCTTGGTGAGTATGTCAGGGAGAATGTGATGCCCCTCTCACCTCAAGGAGCACAGAGCCGCACTGGTCACTATGCAAAACCTGACAACAGCTGCCTGACTTACTTTGCCCAGTTCTATAGTTATTCATGGCAGGATAGTAAGTCTGAAACCAGTCCTGGTATGCTTGAAGATATCTTTATTTGACCCCCACATTTAAATAATTCTAGGTTCAAAATTCTTTCCTTCAACACTTTGATGTTACGCTTTTGCATCCAGTTGCTGTTGGAAAGTTAATGCCAACCTGATTTTTATTATTTTGCCTTATATTTGCAACTGTTTTCTTTTTTTCCTTAAGTAATAAAGCTTTAAATTTCTGTTCCATTGGTTTTAAACTCCTGGTGCATTCATTCCTTTGGGTCTGCTTCCTCTGATATAGACTGCCTATATCTTGTCATTCGTCAGAATGCTTTTGTTCTTTAGATGTGTCTGACTTTTTTTTGTTTAACTGACACTTCATCTGTATTTTTCCTGAGTCTGTCAGTTGCCTCTGCTTTTGATGACAACACAGGTGGCCCATTGAAAAGAGAGGCTCAACTGGCATCTTTACTGCGAGTGTAGGGGATATGAGTTGAGTGCCTCTACTGCAGATCTCTGGGTGTAAGTGCACTTGTTTCCCCTGGCATTTCATTCTCCTTAAGATACACTGCCCAGTTCCTCTGATGCGTGACCTCTTTCTCTAATGGGAGCTGGGGAAGACAACTCCAGGTCCTACTGGCTATCTGTGGCTGGCATCACAGATTTCGATGCTGAGATCAGAGCTTCAGGGAGGTAGGTTGTTGGCATCAAAACCACTCTTACGTAGAGCCCTGGGTGTCTCATTTGCTGCCTTGGACTGAACACAGCAAAGTCAGTGCAGAAAATCCAACTTTGATCATATAATCTAAGTTTTCAAACACAATAGACAAGACTTGTTCAGTTTCTGTCCAAGCCTGGCCCACTGCGATCACAGCTCCCACCCTAGACTGGCTCAAGACTCTATCTAGAGACTTCAACTCTTGCCTTCTTCCTTCTGACCTTCTCCCATCCCCTCAGACCTCTCCTGCTTTAGCTCATCATTTTCTTAAGAGTTTCTCAGGGTTTTGATAAAGTTGTTAAAGTCTGCCTCTGGATTCATTCTGCCTTCCTATGTCTTGGCTGGAACTTCCAGATTTCAGTTCAGGTAAGAGAACCAGAAGGATGTTTTTAGTTCTTTACTTTGATGGAAGCCAGAAACACATTCTCCTCAAGGATCATCCTGGGGTTACTCGTGGACCTTCCAGCCCATTTAGAGGTCCTACAGCAGGCTGTGGAGGACATAAGCCAGGCCAGTCTTGCTGGAGCCATCAGGGTTAGAACCACAGGGTTAGAACACCTGGCCATAATCACAACAGTTAACTGGGAAATGGGGTGGGATATTATCATTTAGGGCACTCCCCAACCCCACCCCATGCAGACTCTGGCATTAGTTCTAATGCCAGACAGTTCTCAAAGGAAGCAAAAACATCCAAATTTCTGGTGATCATGACAGGCACTTATATCCTTATAATGCACAATCCAATAGAGTCATGCGTTGCTTAATGATGGGGATATGTTCTGAGAAATGCATCCTTAGGTGATTTTGTTGTTGTGCGAACACCATAGAATGTACTTGCACAAACCTAGATGGTAAAGCCTACTACACACGTAGGTTATATGGTACTAATCTTATGGGACCACTGTCATATGTGAGGTCCATCGTTGACTGAAACGTCGCTATGTGGTCGGTGCATGACCGTACTTAGAATTTTGTCATGCTTGTAAGTACCTATATTTTCACATCGATTATCTATATATCACTACAGAAATTATGAAAGTTTGTCTTCTTTAGAAGGATGAGTGGAAAGGAAATTTCTTTTCTGTAGTAACAAGTCATGCTGCCCCCAAAATAAATTTCTTTCTTTTATCAGTAAAAATAGCACTCTCTTGCTATACAGTCAATTCTCATTATTGACACTAATGTTCTATAAAGTCACTGTGAACACAGAATTGGCAAGTACTGAACCATTGCTGCTAGTAGAAATACAGGGTTAGGTTCCTGAGAGCTTCTGGTCACAATATTTTCGTCAACCAATCAATACATAACTTGGTTTTATACTGTTTCTGTTCAAAGACTGTTTATTTAGTATATATAGTTGACTCACTAACATTGAGCTCACAGTCAACAGCACTGTCACTCATGCCTGAATGAAGCTTATGTAACACACATATTGTCTCTGTAAGGCACATCACAGCCTTCTTGTGCTTAGGAACATCAGCCAGCACTTTAGCTCTATACTTTGGAGCCATTTCAAACAGCAAAATCACCAAGAAAAAGCACAATAAAATGGTATTAAATAGACCATGCAAAGGACATTTGCTTACAGTATGAGAGCCAAAACGAGAAGGCAGAGCCTCGCCTTGTTCAACCTAAGCTGGGAACATGTGCATGGGGTGGCTCACTTTCTTCACCACTTTATGCATGTCTGTGAATGACTGCAACAGCACCCCAAGTGTTGATTTGGGGTTACAAATACATTTTATTGAGTAGGAGAATTCACAAACATGGAATCTGAGAATAATGAGGATAGACTGTATTATTATTATTAATGCTACGCGTCTTAATGAAAAAAATCCTTTTGTTAAAGGAAAGAAGACTATAAGATGCCACAGAAAGGACATCTTGTTGACCTTGTACACCCCTTGCCTCCTCACCCCAGCAACAAATCTCCTGAATCATTAAGAAACCTTTGTGCAATCTGCAGTGGTTTAGGGACTACTAACACTTTGCGTCGATCTGGTGGGTGTCTAGTAAAGAGAGCTCCAAAGCCTGTCGCAGGCAATCCAGTGTCCCTGGAAACAAGATAACAATTTTTAGAAATATGTCAGACTGGCATTTATAAACTTTCAAAGCCATACAAAAACTAACTTAGGGCTGACTTTATGATAAATAATTTTTAAAGGATTTTCATGTTTACAACTTTAATACACTTTGCAAAATAAAATTTCCCAATATGTAAATGGAAATTGCAGCATTTGGTCATTACTCTACTGCATTTTCCAATAATGACAATGTAAGATAAAGTCTGTGTCACACACTTGCATGGAAAGGTGTTCTGCCAGCTTGCAGGACTCCAGATATGACTAATAAACAGTTCCTCCCCTCAAGGAACTCTCTGTCTTGGGGAAAACACACATACATATAAATAACTATAATGTAAGTTCAACTATTATGTAGAACATAAACAAAATGCTCAGGGGGCAAGAATATAAGAGCAATTAATTCTGATTAGTGACAGCTTACCTAATTCTTACTGCATGTCAGGCAATATTTCTGTGCATATTTCATACTTCATTTCATCTAAACTTTGGAACAAACTTGTCAAATAGATACTTTTATAATTCCCATTTTACAAGTGAACAAACTGAGGATTATAGACAAAACAAATTTCACAAGTAAATTATGAGGCTGGGGTTCAAACCTAGATAGACAGAATCCTGACCAGAAAAAACACGTACAGAGGAAATGACATTTTAACTGGACCCAGAATGAGTAGTGCTGATTGGCAAACAACTGAGAGAAAGGGAATTCCAAACGGTGAGAATAGCATGAATAGAAAGCATGGAAGCTTGAGACGTGTTATTGTGCTTGATGCGTTCCTGTAATGTGTAGCTGGGGCCTCTATACGTCTTCACTACTTATTTAATCCTTTCCTGCATGTGCATGCTCTGTAAGCAAAAGGAAGTATTAAAAATACCTTTCAATAATCCCAGAGTTCATTGTTTCCTCATTCAATAAAGGCTTGCTCTTTATTTCAGCCAATTCTTTGTTTAAATAAACTTGTGCCATTTGTTCATGTGTTTCTGATATCCAAATCTGGAAAAATAGAAGCCACAAATAAAAAAATAAATTGTCAAAATAGTCAGTTAGTAAAATATATTTCTGTTGAAGTACATTCTGATTTTAATTGTTGACTCCATTGACATTAAAAAATAAGCAACGTCTCATAGCAGTCAACTATTTCATTGTCAATATGCAAAAATGGCAATTCCTTACTACGTGTTCTTGGAAAATAAAAATCAAATTCGTTGTTTCTGTGAAATGAAAAGTGCTGCATTCAACTAAATACTCTCTCTCCTTTCTACTTCCCTCTCAAGGTTAGTATATTTTAACTGCCCTAAGTGAGAAAAATTTTGTAGCAATCAATTTGTAAATCACATAGAACTTCAGATACCATCATCATCATCATTGTCATCATCATCATTATTATCCATTCTCTATTACAGAAGATAACTCAATAAATTATCAAGCAATTATTACTATGAGGAAAACCTACAGATTGTAAGACGTACTCAAACCAACTGCAGAAGCATCACGGGTTACATCCAGGGGATCTTAGGAACAAAAGTGGATGCTGAGGATTCAGCATTTTCTCCCTACAAAACTCAGGAAGATTACCAACATGGAGGTTCACAGCAGAGAACCAAAACTCACTACCACCAAGACAGCCTATTATTTAAGACTAGATTCTCCAAGAATGGAAGCTCCAGATCACAATAATCCCACTAGATTTGTGTTTGTTTTTTTAAAAAAGAAATCACTCTTTAGAAATTTGTAGCCTTCAACTTCAAGAATATCCTGGCTATAGTCAAACACCTTTGGTCCACTTTGGGTCAGTATAATAAGGCTCTGTTATAACTAGGAATCTACCCTACTCAAAGCAATTTTAACTATAGTCTCTGGTCCTAATTCCCTGGTCTACTCCATGTGTCTATAGATCCTTGGCTTCTCTGACCACTGCTCCCTAAGAACTCAACCTCATGAATCACCATCCTCCCAGCCCAATTTCCCAGCTCTGACTTCTATACCCTTAGCTCAACCACTCTTCCTCGTAGATCCTCAGGTTCACAAGTCAATGGTAGGGGACACTGTATTGGGTTTCATATTATATACTTAAACAAAAAAGAAGACATAGCTTTTGGGAAAAAAAAATTACTAGTCAACATTTCATTTTAAGGTGTAAGGTTGACCCCAAAATTAACCTTAGATATGCTCTGATCATTTCCAGCAGTATAATATTTCAATAAATCAATCAATACCTTTAAAAATCATGTGAAACAGATGCTAAACATGAAATAATGAGGAGTAAAAGGAAACAACAGCATCAGTGAATCTTAAGTTTATTGAGTGCTTATTCTGTTTCAGACACTGCCTTAAGCACTTTATATGCATTATTTCACTGAATACTCAAAGGCACCCTATGAATGTTGTGTACGAAACATGGTTACAGAAGGAAAAAAACAATCAAATAGGGAAATGAGGAGAGTTAAATGAAAATCTATTTATGGAAATGTGGCCTAGCATTCAGAAAATCAACAAACAATGTGGAAGCACCCTGAGGATAGCACTAGTGGTGAGCCATAGGGTAGGAACAGTTACTGGAACCCAGAAAGACCTACAGCTATAAAGAAAAGGCCACTTGATAGTTGTGGCTTTCAGCACAGACACACAGTGTCTTAGTCCATTCAGGCAGCCATTACAAATACCATAGACTAAGTGGCTTATAAACAACAGAAATTTATTTCTCACAGTTCTGGAAGCTAAGTCCAAGATCAAGAGGCTGACAGATTCAGTGTCTGGAGAGGGCTATCTTTTCACTGAGTCCTCACATGGCAGAAGACGGGAGGGAGCTCTCTCTTTTTTAAGGGCAGTAACCCCATTCATAAGGGCTTCCAAATGCCCCATCTCCTAATACCATCACACTGGAGGTTAGGATTTCAACATTTTAATTTGGGGGAACACAAATATTCAATCTGTAGCACACAACCACTGCTAAACCATGGCCCTGCAGGGAGAAAACCACCAGAATAAATGTCCAAGCTAACTCTCCACCCACTTATCATCACCTGTCAGTGACTTCCACAGGCCAGTCCCAACTGGAAGCCAGAGGGCAAGGGAGCTCATTGATGCAATCCGTAAAGGTCAGCCTCCTTGGCACTAAGCAGGGTTAAGAAGAGTGGAGAATGCATGTGAAGGGCGAAAGAACACTTGGCACAGTTTATCCCCATTTTAAGTATGGGAAAATTGAGGCTGAAATGGACTAAGTAGCACTCAAGTAAACCAGCAAGAAAGTAGATGTTCCACCATTCAAAACTCATGTATCTGACTCATTCATACATTCATTCATTCATCCATACCTATGAAGTGCCAGGCATCCTACTAGGTTCCAGGGCTAGAGGAGTAAAAACTCCAGAGCTCACTAAGGTGAGTTATAGGAAATCATGGGCATTATGGCAATAACAATAGCACATGGCCAGAAACCATTCTAAATGTCTTCATATTAAATGCTCATGAAAACTCCACTATTCTCACTTTACACCTGAGAAAACAAGGACATGGAAGTTTTAGACTCTTGACCAACATTACAATCTAGTAAACGGTGGAGACAAGAATCAAAGAGAAGCTGTCTGACTCCAGAGCCCACTGTTAACCTCTGTGTGGTCTGTATTAGAGGCAAATGTTATCCCCTGATATTAGACCTCCCATCTTCATCAGTAACCTCCAGATTTTAGCAGGGTACATGGTGTTTCAGATGACATTTTCCAGCCTCCCTTTAATTAGATATGACTAGTGACTGGTTCTAGACAATGGGACATAAGTGGAAGTAATTTATGTAACCTCCAGGAAAGGTCCTTCTGTTTTTCTCTTCCTGCTACATGGAATGTGGACATAATGACAGGTTTCCAGCAGCCATCTAGGGCCCTGCCCAAGGCATGGCAGTTCAGAAAGCTGAAAGGAATTGGTCCCTGACAATTTTTGGAACTTCCATACCAGTCCTGACCTGCTATCCTCCAGACTTTTTAAATGAAAGAATAAAACCTTATGTGAACAGCCACTGTTGATTTGTGGGTTCTGTTGCATGTAGGCAAACCTAAGCCTATACCATCTTAATGTGAAAAATCACTTTGGTCTAGAAACGTTCATAACCTGACATAAGGGTGGGTAATTTATAAAAGAACTTCCATATGTTTAAAAGTCTTTTGGGCTTTATATATAGATCACAAACTGGAGACTGGCAATTTGGTATGTGAGATAGCTAAATTAACACAGCACAAACTCACAGGATAATCACTAAAATTTCCATTTAATTTGCATAATAAAATCTAGCTTGAGTCAAATGGTAATATAAAAAATATCCAATGTTTGTACAGGAAGTTTACTTCATAATATCATTCTTATTCCTCATTTTCCTGAGTATAAATTTTTTTTAAAGATCCAATTTCTAATCTTCCAAGATGAATTCTTCCTATATGTGCTGCATTTAAGAAAACCCAGTTGACGGATAACCTGGGTAATTGGTAAAGGGAAAGAGCAGGACTTCCTCTCAAGTTCCACATTTGAGGGTAACCAGCCTCTTTCTGCTGAGGATAAGTTACCTGCTGGCAGAATCTCTGTTGGCAAGATTCATTGTAGATGATCCCCAATTGACCTTTCTTTCTTGGGTTGCTTATAAGGGTCCCCAGAAAGCATACTCCTCTGATCCGTGTTGAAGGAGGTGCAGATACTTCCCAATACAAGTACCCCTCTGATGCCATAGGCTTCTTCAGGAATGAGTGAGAGCCCGGTCCACCACATCCCCCAACTTCAGGGGAACAACTATCAAATTCCCTGCCTGATATCCTTGAGGCCCTACTCTGCAGCTTAAAGTGAAGAGGACATACTTCCCGCCCCTATCTCATGGGGACAAGAGGGCTGGGACTCAGCATGCATGCTCTCTCCAAACAGCTCCTCCAAATTTCAAATACTCTCAGCCAGGTCGCTTCAATTTCAACCTTTTCTTTCCCTCTTTCTTTCCTTCTTTTTTATCTACAAGGTGGATGAGAGACCAAGAGGCTCAAAACCAATTACTCCCGAAATTCTTTGCATGTTCTACATCAGTGATCTGGCACTTCACTTTGGAATGAAGGAGAAGTCGGCATCTATCATCTTAGATCTTCAGTCATAACCGAGGAAGAGGCTGATTTTAAAAAAACAACAGTCCCTCTACCAACTGTGGCTTTTTTGCACCGTTGCCAAAAAAGTCATCATCAAAAACAAGTAATACCAAGACTTTGTTAAAAGTCTTTATCTTTAAAAATCATCCAAAAGTCTATTCCTATTTCTCAGCAGTGGCTTTGCCCTTGGAAATTCTGGCTCCGTTTTCCTGTCTAGGTGAACTCAGTAGTGTCATATGCAGATTATTGAAAGGATCCCAGAGAAGAAAAGAGGTCCCCTCTTTATCATTATTTTGAACAGCTGGGACTCAGGGGATGCAATCAGAAAAATAACTTCATCTTTTTTCTCCACTGCCTGTTCAAGCTCGCCTTTATGGGATGGTCCTCTCCCTGCTCCTAGAAATAAATCTTGGACAAGTACATATTTTCTTTTGATCACTCTCAGATAACAAAACCAGTCTCAGGTAAGTAATTAATATTAATAGAATAATCACAAGAGGGACTTTTAGTTGTCTGAGGAAAGGGAGAAAAAGAGCAAGTGAAGAAATAGAAAATCAGCCAACCCTCCCCCGACCCCAGCCCCATACACCCACTTCCCTCTGCATACTTCCCTGGAGCAGACCCTAGCTGGAGGAGGAGAATATCTCCAACCTTAAATGAAATTTATAATTTTGATGGGTTATTTTAATTATTGAAATGTGACCAGCAGACATTTTATTATCTAAGAGTGATCATAAAAATTATGGAAACTGCACAAGATTTTATCCAGGGGTAGAGAAAGAACTAATTCCACAAAGTGTGGTGAATAGATAGTGGAGGCAAAGAATGTGGGGGCGGGGGGGGCGGTATGATTGTACCTTTTGAGTCTTATTTGTTCAACTT